CTGCCGGTTCGGTCGGACCGTAGTCCGGTCCAGACCGGTTCAGTCAGTTATTTTCAGTTTCAGTCCTGGTTTTCAGTTTCAGTGTTATTTTCAGTTAAATTTCCGGGTCAAGTTCAGTTCAGTTAAGTATTGCCAACTCAGTTTCATACTTAGCCGGTTTTAGTTATACCGAATAAGTCCGAATATCATGTCAGATTCGAAAGAGCATCTTAACATAATTAAACAGTTAAATTATCAGTCTGAGCATAGTCAATAGTAATTGTTTATATTATTTTTCAGTTTGATTAGATATCAGCACTGCCTCTCAGTTTCAGTTTCAGCAAATTCAGGTGGGGACTCAGACTAAGTACTACATGGTTTATAATTACGTTACCATGGTCGAGGTATGTATATTCAGATACCGCTCGGGATGGTCGCCGGTCCATTCTGGGTTCTTGTGGCCTAATCTAACCACTAGAGTGTGAACATGGTCCGGTGTTAGTTTTGCCGGGAGATTTCAGTTATCAGTTACGCGACTTATGTTGCGAGATTCAGTTATCAGTTACGCGACTTATGTTGCGAGATTCAGTTATCAGTTACGTGACTTATGTCGCGAGATCAGACCGGTTATCAGTTATCAGATATCAGTTTCAGTTCAGTTGTATATACTTAGTTCATGATATTGTTATTATTTACGATGTTGTACATTAGCATGAGTTTCTGCGGAGCACAGTGCCTTAGTGCTCACGCCCCACATCTTTCATGTTTTTCAGGTCGCAGGGTCGGAGACGAGGAGTGAGCGGGCGGGCTGTTCAGGACATTTATGTTTATTGTACTTATGATTTGCCACACTAGACTTCCGCTAAAACTTTTCAGTACTTTTTATCAGACTTTGTTCCGATGTTTATCGGATAAGACATTATGACCGTTTTTATGTTTCAGTTTAAATTTTAACGGTTTTCAGAAAATTAAGTTTTTCACGGTAGCCCCCGAATCAGTTTCGCAAAATAAGAAGTTTATTTATTTATTCAGAAAATTTGCGAAAATCGCGTACTCTGATATAGTAGTAAGTCGGGGTGTTACACTGGAAATCGAAACTTGATCGAGCCGGACAAAAACCGAATTGAAATTTTCAGTTCGGTCAGTTTTAATCGAATTATGCACACCCCTAGCTGCTCTCGCGTACACTGCTCAGAGGGGCTTGACATGGACAAATGATATGTGCTCTCGGCCTTGCTCTCGACACGGCTCGCAGGTGGATGGCTCCTAAGTGTTGGCCTCATGTCCTTGTGGCCCTCGGCAAGGCGTGGCTGCAGCTCACGGTTCTCCTCGGTAGCTCCTCTCGTGGTGCCCTCAGGTCTCGGCCATGCACCTGCATGCCCTTGGATGGCCACGGTACTTGCACGCTTGAAGATTTTTGGGCAACCGGAACATAGAGTTCTTGGAGGGTTTTAAAGATGATTTTTCCCAAAACTCTTAGAATCTGACTGATGCAAAAATGAGAGAAAATGACTGAATAACTTGGAGATATTTGGGAGGTGTGAAAGGGCATAAATGAGGGATGAAGGGGGGGGGGGAGAGGGGAGAGGGGCAATGATTTGGGAATTAATCTAGTCATTAAGGGACAGTGGAGTGATCTTGCTACCATAAAGGAGTAGCATAAAATGGAATGAAGAGTGAGGGCATGTGGTGATGGGAGGATTTTGTGGCTTGTGGGACTTGATTAAAACTTACCAAAATGTGCTCTCAATTTTCATTTCAAACTACGGTGGCAAAATTCTTAAAAGGGATGGATCCTTTAAGCACAAGGGCTGAAATAATTGGGCTTCAGGTGACCGAAATTCTTTCATCTTCGATCAGGAAAATTTAGCTAGAAAATGGCTCACAACAAGGCTATACTCGAACAAAGGAATTTGCATTGATTTGCTTAGCAAAAGACCTAATAAAACTTTGATTTATTTAAGTAGATGGTGACATCTACAATGTACTTAACTTATTAGATTAAATAGATATGGACATCCAAATAATTTTATTGAATTTATTAGCTTTTTAGTCGAACTTAACAAAAGAAAGAGATATGAAAGGCAACGAAATCAAATGCAATCACAATAATAATATAAACCGACTTTTATTAATCGAACGGGCACTACATATTTCTTTACTTCTTATAACAATTATGTTGATAAAGAGACAGGTCATTAAACTTGTTAATACATTTTGTATGTGTATATGTGGAGTTGTTCGGGATTGGATCAAGCTTGGTGTTACAAAACGGATAAGCTCAAACAAGAAATAGATGTTCATACTGGGGTCGCATTCCAACTTTTACCACAATCCAAGGAATCAATAATTTGTCGTCTGTTTCATTGGTAGATAGAATACTTCAAGAACTAATGATTTTAACAAGATATTAAGGCGACCGTGCTAGCATTTTAATGTTTCAAGGATTACCCAAGCAGATTGGATTGAGTTTTCTTCGGTAGTTAGCTAGATTTGTTGTTTTCTTTTTTCTTTGTTTTGGGTTGTTAGTTGTTTGTTGTAGTTGTAGTTGTTTTTTTGCTTTTGGGAAGGCATACCCTGGCTAGGCTTATGCAGTGGTCGGGATCTTTTCTTTGTTGTGTTGTTTGTCAGGGTGTTTGAGGGCTTAGTTGCAGTTGTTTCAGTGAGGCTTTAGACCGCCTGTGGCATGTCTCTCAGTTTTTTATTCTGTGGGTATTCTCTTTGTATTCGAACGGTGTTCGCTTTTGTTTGTTTAATAATTATTTCTATCGTTCCAAAAAAAAAAATTGTTGGAAAGAAAAGGAGAAACCAGTTATCTTCCAGTATTGCAATCAGTAAAATTATCTTTTAGTACTACAAATATAGACTAAACATTTGGTTATCTCACAGCTTATATTATTCACAAGAACTAGACAGTGACAAACCACAAAAGGCATTATTTTCTTAATAAAAAATGAACCAAACTAAATCTCAGGTGTAACTTTGTTCGTTTATTATTCCTTCCAATCTCTACGGCCCACGAAACCATGTTCTTGCAGCCAACCTAACGGCAAACCTTAGCAATATCCTCATTATTTATATACATGTTTGTCACAAATCATCCAGAAATAATCTTACACCAAGGTTTCCCCATATCCCAAGCACATTCTTCGCTTATTACATTAAGTGATGTGCATTGCCATTTGCCATATTCTTCCATGGATGAGCACAGAGCACAGAAGAACACGGTTAAATTACATATAGGAGAAATAAGCAGAAGAAAAAAAAAAATGATACAACAACAAGCTCAAGAGCAGGCATCAAGAGGCCTGGTAGAAAGAAAGTTTGCTCGGGGAATCAATCCTCACAATATGCTCGTCCTCGCAACCAGAGTCGTCGCTCGACTCATCTCTCGTTGCACGGTTTTTGTTGTTGTGATGCAACTCCTCATTTCGTGAAACGATTTGCTTTTTGTTACTATCTTCTCGCCCATCAAGTCTCGTGCATAGGGTAGCAGAACCTTCGGATTTTGAGGAGACCATTAGGCGTTGTGTGTGGTTGGAAGGGACTCTTGGATATGACACGCTGTACGCCGGCCTCACTCTTCTACTTCGAGTGCGTCGTCCCCCAATGTTAATCTGATAGTTAACAAACCAAGATTGTCAACACAAAAGTTTCGGTAAGGCTGCTGTTAGGCAGGCCTAGAAGTTTGACATCATATATTTCTTCAATGGATATTGCATACTTTCAAGTTGTAATGTCATACTCTTAAAAACAACATAAACAAAAGTATGACATTCTAGCATAAATATGCATATTTGTTAAATAAGTATGCTAGGTCTACTCGTCTAATCGTTAGACCGTCTCACACAAGAATTTTTGTTCTTATTTAGGTGAGTGCATGTTCTGTAAATTTCAGGGGTGATTGCAAAAACTACACCTGAGGTTTGAAGTAGTAGCCACACACAAAACCTAAACATATATAAATATACCATTCTTGAGGTTAGATTATGACTTTCATTTTGCCCAAAGTCAGGGCGAGTCGTTAATTGACTTCACAGAATTAGCAGATGTAATCAAATATTCTACATTTAGATTTCTCAATTTTCCAACACTACAAAGCAGCTCTTACTTTTTGTTTGGTTCTTTTAAATGTTAAAAAAAGCTCAGAGATGTAATTGTAATAAATGGAGCTGATGTAACTATAGAAATATCTAGAGTGGTATTTCAAACTGTCAAAATCAAGCCGTTTTGTTTTAATTAAGCAAAACCTCAAGAGTAGTTATTCTGATTATCCTTAATCACTAAGGATTAATAGTTCTTTCATTAACTGCAACAAACTTGCCGGGCATTTTCATAATCAAATCAAACTATAAGGTGAAAATATAATATGTAGTTAGAGAGGATGATTTAATAAACCTACCATGCTACCATAAATGCTCAGCTGCATTGCCCTGGCAGACAAATTGCTTCCTTGTTCGTACGACGCTTCCGGATCATGATGTTTGGAAATGAACATTTGTTCAGGCCAACTCATCAGACCACCATGGTCTCGAACAAGAGATCCAGACGGGTAATCGGCTGAACGTGAAATTATTGAAGATGACCCTTTTTGGAGAATTCTACCAGCTTCAAACCCAGCAATGTCTAGTGTAATTACCCTTGCCCTCGTCTCAACTTGATACACAGAAACTTGGTGAATGAAACTTTCTGCCCTGGCGCCTATATGCAAAATATATAAGTAACACAAGGAATCTGTTTACATACTGACAATCAATTAAGCGAAATAGTATAAATTATTGGGAAGCATTTTTGGATCAAGACGTACAATAAATCAGATGTTGTACTTGTCAAAAATGTTTAGGCGCACTTAAAATTATAAGGTAGCAACTCTCATCTTTCAATGTTGTGCTTATGATGCATCAGTTGGTTGGCTCCACTAGCAAGCAAGTTTTTCATACACTTGATAGATAATAATGGTGGATTTATGCAACAGCAGACATATATTAGCTAGGTCTCACAAACTTCGTCAGAATGAAATGCATTAAACCCAGACACATTGAGAAACTAGGAGTGTAACATCACATGAATATGACAAAATCTCCAGTAAATGTCCAATGTTTATCATCCTATCTACAACTATCTAGCGTGAGATAAATATCCTCAATCAGGCAAAAGACAAACTGGTAGCATGATGATCGTACACAACACCACCGAAATACAAAATCCATCATGCAGGGCGATGGCGATGACAAGAAAATCATCTTGCTAAAACTTCTCTTCAAAATAATATGACCAGAGAGAAAATATTCTGAAACACTATGGAAAAATATATTACAATTATTTCAAAGCGCATTAAGAAACAATAAATCGTAATCAAATTCCATGAATCAAGATACAAAACCATGACGCTTTCTTGAGAAAGCATATTGAACTACCATAATCTATAAATACTACAAATTTCAGGTGGCAAACAATGATCAGTATTCAACACCACGGACAAAAGCTTTTAACATCTTGATTCATCTAATGCTTTCAAAAGTTTTAATTTAAGCCACAAAAATCAAATTGGAGGATAAAAGTAAAAGTCACACTAAAGATTGAAAGGATAACACGAGTAACACAGGAGCATTGTGTATAAAGGCTGAAAAAGTAGGACAGCTAGTGAAATCTATCAGCAAAATGTATAACTGGATGAGTAACAAGCTAAGTACCTGATGTTTCAGGTCGAGTGAAACTTTGATTTCTACGGGGTAGTATTGTTGCTGGAGCTGTAAGCAGCTCTTCTTCACCACCTGGAATCTTTACAAAACCTTCCAATAAGAAACCCACAGTATGTGCAAGTAGTTCAAAACTTTCTCCCCTTATGTATATATTCATTGTCGACCTTTCAGCGATAAGAGTTCTTAAATCTGGCATCGGCATTTTCTCGAACATGTGAGGGAGCATGAGCTTGGCAAGAACAATGACACTTTCCTGAGTACAGCATCAGAAATTCATTACGCAGAATTGACATGCCAAGGATTTGAGAAATGGTACTGAGGTTACGAATTGGATGTGATCTCTTTATGGATACTTTTTATAGAGAAAAGCGATGGAAAAACTTTTCAATGAAAAATGTTGATATTATGAGTAAATGTGATTGGACATGAGATAAAAAGGTAATGATGAAGCTTGGTGTGATATAAAAGTAATACACCGATGATTGATTATGTTGGTAGCTACAATACATGTGCGCTATAAGAAGTACATCGATTGGTTACAAGGTTTTTATTGTGTACAAGTGTTGCCTGTGTACACTCTCCCTTTGAGCTAGCTTTTGGGGCTGAGTTTTGAGTTTTACCCAGGCTCAATTACCACGGTACTAGAGCACCCATATTTTTTTTGTTTTGAGGCGATCTTGGGTTAGCCCATTTTGACTGGCACACTACACATCAGAGTGGGTTTTAGAAGTTACGTTTGGCTCACATTAATTATTTATTGGGCTGCTATTGTGTATATGTGTGGCTTGTGCACCCTATTCCTTTGAGCTAGTTTTTGGGGATGAGTTCTATGTCTAGTTATCATGGATACATAGTAGGTATACTGTGGTAAAATGGAACTGATATTCTCTTCTTAGATAAGGTTGAAGATGTGAACTGTGAGAGAAACGATGAGAACGAGTGCATAGCTATTATTAGTTAAAAGTCTTGTTAAAGATTCGCCATTTAGGATTAGAACTTTCCTCCCGCAGATAAATATGAAATAAAATGATTTGTATCCATATAGAGCCTCAACACTGGTCAAACAAGCACTAAGAAGTACAATCAGCACCATACCCGCCAAAAGAAATCTTCCACTGCAGGATCAGATCTCAATGCGGAAAATATCTTTTCATTCTCAATAAAGAAGCACAGTACCACAGAGTCGGTGACAATATCACACATATAGGGCCTTTCAGCAAGCACTTCATACAAACCAAGAGTACTTCCATGTGTGAAACTTGAGTGCAATAAATGCTTATGGCTTTTACTTGACCACTGTCAAAAACAAATACCCATCCCTAAGCGGTGGGGTTAAGAACAAGTACAACGTCTAGTTAAATATCATAACCAAATGTAATAATGTATAGTATGCAAATACCTTTACTACTCCATTTGATATCAACCAGATACCAGTTGGCTTTGATCCTTCTTTATATAGCGTTGCTCCTGATAATTTCATCATTTCTTTAGTCGATCCTACAAGTGTCTCACGCAACCTAGAAGGAAGAGCTCCCAATAAAGGGTTGGCAGATACCAAATCCCTTATTTTAGGAACTTTGACCAAAGGAGGGTTTCTTAATAGCCTTTTCAAGTCAGTCTGCATAAAAGTGAAAAATTAGGTTGTTGTAACCAATAATAATGTCAAAACAAGGATTAGCACAAGTCATACAGAAATGACCATAGTTTACCTGGACAGCATCGTGAAGATGGCTCATTTCCTTTCCTTCTAATAAGCCGATCTTCTCAAGATTATGTACATAATCAATCAAATGATTCAGCACAGAATATGTGACTTGCCTTGTTTTCACAACACGTAGTACCTGAATACGTCACCAACAGTAAATCTCAGAGTTCATTAAATCAGCAAAATAAATCATCCTATATAACATTTTACATACCTGAGGAAATGTCACCCGAACATCTTCCAGAAACTTCCTTGGTTCTTCACCTTCCTGCTCACTTTCCCTAATTACCATGGCAGCAATCTCACTGTTACCTATAGTGTCATCATAAATTGTATTTCTGTTAAAACATGATTTTGAATGGAATCAGATACTGAAAAGTTAATTTATTGAAACATGTCTCCGACGAGATTAATACTAAAACAGCTTGTAGCAACTTTTATGCTCACAACAAAGACTGACAGAAATTCGAGTAAATTGACAAAACCAAAACTCAGTAAGGACAGGCAACACAATAATATCTATGTGACGGAGTGTAGAATAATTTGACTCATATCTTTTGGATGGTGGTTGAGTTAGTAGGAAACAGCAAGCTGTGTCTTACCAATGAAGTCATGTAGTTGCTGTCTTGCAATTCTATGTGCACGAAGAAAAGCAGCACAAATATAGCAGGCAGATTCTAATCTCTCGACAGTAAAATAAGTCACAAGCTTTGGCGGGACAATGCTTGCTTGGAGAAACTTATAGTAACTTGGCATGTTCACATAAGATTTTAGGCCCTTCCAATCACACAAAACCTCATGAGGTACCAGGTCAATTGCTTCATCAACAGATCGCATAAGAAGATTGGCGGTCGTCTGTGTGATCCTTCCCTCATCAAGCATGGCCCAGTAAGCTGCCTGAACACCTAAAATTAAATTATTACCTTGAGTTAGACAAGATACACATGTTATTTAACTTTCAATTAAAAGCACTCTGTTTTTCATACGTAGAAATATCTAAGATTCGTGTGTCTCATTTTCAGGACATATGGTATACCTGCAAATAAAGAGAACATTTCACTTTTCATAACTAAGTGCAGTGTATCAATGTAACCCTGTGAACCCCATGGTACATTCTCAAGAGTCTAAAAATTCAGAAGTTTATGATCTAATCTCTTCTAGTTAATTAAAGGTCATGATCCTAACCATTGATTAAATATTCACATGGCTAAATCAGTTGATAATGGTAGTTTCGTTTACATAAAGCTGCAGTTTCTTCTGCTAAGTTAAGCAAATTTATCAACTTTAAGTGCGACCATCACAAGTGATCGAACAATAGCACCTCTGTGCCACAAGGATCGTTTTCAAACCTGGGGTATTATATTGATATTTCAAGTTAATATTCATTTAATAATTTGGTACAAGATCAACACAAGCCAGTTAGCCATATTTGTGGCTGATAGTTCTAAATGTCATCACTGTTAAAATAACACCACCGCCTTAATCGGGATATTCTTGAAATGTTGAGAAAATCAAGTGTCTTACTAGTTTATTAATTAAATTGTAAGTTGCATAAGAACCAGTAGATTGTTCAATTTAGTGGCACGGAGTCACCGACATAGACATATCTAGATATATAGACCCCCTGCTCGTTATTTGTGTATGCAAGTTGAGAGTTAAAGAGAAATTAGAGTCTAAGTGTTCCAACTGAGAGTTGAGAGTGTCAGACAGTGACTTGTGAGAAAATTAAGATAATTAGAGGTGTCTTCTAGAGTTCTGTAATATGTCAATTCAAATTAGCTAGGGCGTCTAATGTACACTAATATAATTAATGTCTTGTGGTCTTGCTAAGTGAAATGTTATATCTTGCTCCTTTTTTCGTGTTTGTTTAATTATTTCACAAATATAATACAGTAATTACATTTATATCCATGTGTTGTTCGTATACTCAACCCAACAATTACTCATATAATTTCTTGTTTGGTTAGTAATATCTTATCCGCTAAATTCTTGTTCGTTTCTAAAGATGCCAAACATAATAAGTGTTGTTGCCATCTTCAAATTTCATTAAATTGTGCGTACATGTTCCAGTACCGCCCAGGGCATAATTTCACGGTGAGTTCTTTTAGCTATGAATACTTATACAGCAAAGGTATTCTTCAAGATCTGGCACTGAAGACAATATCTAAAAACATTCTTATTCTAAAATTTGTTTATGTTATCCAACGCCAGATTTTTCGTTTTTATTTTATTGTTTTAACTTCGTAAAGCTTATGTAATACAAAACTAGAGTGTCCACTTTTAAATAGTAAGCTCAATCATTGGACGCAATTGGTACCAAAACCGTTTCATATGAATTAAGAGTTAAAAGTATGTGAATATGATATCCATAGAAGATTGTGGTATGGCCAGCCTCTGATTAATAATAACTGAAAAAAAGGAGAGTTAAAAAAATAAAAAATAAAAAATGAGGCTCTCTTTTTCAATAAGAAAATCTATGACACGATAGACTGAAAATTCTTGACATAATTCGATAAAACAACTATTTAGTAGTGGTTCATAGGATTTTAAACAGCGACTGAAAAACTCAAAGATTTTAGTAAAAATAAAATGATAAAGCATTAAGCTAAAGCAGTCGAATTAATAGGTTTATTAGAGATACAAACACTTTTGTGTGAACAGATAACTCCACAATGAAATTACGACAATCAGATATTTCAATTTGAAAAATTAAGGTAACAATGTCTTAGATTACTCACCATTTAAGAAGCGCACTCGAATATCTTTCAAATTCATATGTTCATGGTCATTATTATTTCCAGGAGTGCAATGTGGGTGTTCTTGTTCACCATCTATATCATTTAAGCTTTTTATGTATCGTTTAACAGAACCCCAGTCTGCAGGTCCTAACTCCTCATCCTCCCCAAGATCGCCAAAGGCCTCCAGTGCTTTGTTCAGCATTTCATACTTTGTGTAATTCAGTATTCTCCTCTGCAATAAAATATGTAAAATCACAAGTTGCAAGCTCGGGCATGGTCACTCACATCACACACATTCGGATATGCCACATAAACTTTTACATAATATGCACAAACATCCATGCCTGCATGCAGAGAAGAAAATACCTTGGCTGCTGAAAGCCTGTCCATCTTAAGAATTTGTAAAACAAACTGAGTCGTCGATCCATTCACCATAAGCGTAAGAAATACAATTCCGCCAGTCAAAAAAACAAACTGCAACAGGGAAATAAGGTACGATCATGTTACAACAGGCAAGTACAGATAACATTTTTAGGCTGTCCACATATTTTTGTATAGTATATTGAACTTAGCATTTTAGTGAAACTAGCAGACAGCCAATGATCTTCACACAACATACCAGACTTCCAGTATCAGAGCTGATATATGATGAGTTGTCACTCGAACGCTGAAAAACCAATAGAAACAATTAAGATAGACATATATATATACATATATATATATATATATATATGTGTGTGTGTAAATATATATATATATATAGACATTACAAATAGAAGTTAGAAACTCGGGCTTATTATCAAAAAACAGCAACAAAAATTTGAGAAACTACCAAATGTGTTCTTAGCTATACATATAGTAAGGATTGATTTAATGTGAACACCCTTCTTTTTTATAACTCCAGTGAGTTGTTTCGTGAAAAAAAAAAAAAAAAAAAAAAAAAAAAAAAAAAAAAAAAAAATGAATTGCCAAAGGTACTTTACACTGCAGAGAATTTCTAAGGCTACTAATGCAATTTTATTCTTAATGTTAGGGAGGCAAAATAGATAATAGATAATAATAGTTTTCAAACCTTTATTTTTTTGAATTTACTTTGTTCATTTTTTTCTTTTATTCTTTGTTTTATCTGTAATCTTCTTCGACTTTACTATATATTTATGTGTTGGAGAATTAATTGTTTGAGTTATACAATAGAGGAAATATTAAGATTATCCATGCAAATTCAAAAGTAAATCAAATAAATAAATAGTAGTTTTACCCCTATACGTTAATACAAGGTTAATTTTTAAATTTTACCCCTAGTTGTTAATACATAACTAATTTTTATTTTTCTTAAGCTGTATGAGTCATTATAATTTGGATCAAGTCATCAAATATATGTTTAAAATAATTACTTATTACTTATATTACATTTTAAAAAGAAATATTGTAACTCAAAGACTACTTGTAAAAATTTAAATCAATTTAAAATAAACCAATTCACTTTTTCCTTTTATGTTTTCTTAGTTATCTTATTAAATATTGTTCTAGAAAATAGGATAGTCGTCTGTTTAGTCATTCAATAATATATATATATATATATATACATATATATATATGTGAAACATTTTATATTAGCAAAGATTTTTCTTTTTTTATTTTTTTATTTTTTTTACTTTTTTTTTTTTTTTTTTTTTTTTTTTTTTTTTTTTTTTTTTTTTTTTTTTTTTTTTTTTTTTTTTGCGGCTTTTATCATATTTGTTTAAATATATCATCTTATGTATTTTGTAATTCTTAGTGGTACTAGTTTTCTTCTATAAAATCAAAATTGAAAAACAATTACAGTATTATATCATTATAAATTAATGAAGCAAACAATATAACTCTCCTATATACATATTCTTTTTTTTTAAAT